CTGTGCATAACTCAATTAATAATTTTAAGGGTCTTTTTGATTATTTTGTTATTTGTTTCTCCTGCATTGCGTGTCAGTATTTCGGTCATTGGTTATTTGGCTGTGTTAAACTATATTGTTGTCTAAATAAACTGTGAGTATAAAATGAGATATAGTTATTGCATGGTTGATTGTTATGCTGATGAAAATATGTATGAGAAAGACTTACTAGGTACCTAGAAAAAGGTGGACGGGTCTGGTACATAGGGAATCCTATCGCGAACGTTACATCAGTTGGACAGGGCTGGAAAGTCCCTTACCAGTAAGGCTTGAGAGATATGGTTCACTTTCATACCCGGACGGAGTATCGAGGTGGTGAAATATTTGGCGCTAATTATCGGACAGGATACGGGGATGACCGGTTAATTGTTTAATTAGATATTGGATTCGCAAGTAGGAGGACACTCTATAGACCCCCAGGGGTACCGGTAAGCGGGTAAAAATATAAAATAATCGTTCATGTTATCTTCTATGTGATAAATAATAGTGCATGAATATGAGGAGTTTTCATAAGTTATTGTTGGGAAAGACTTGTTACACAATATGGAATAAATAACTTTCTTTATAGTAAATGAATTTACATTAAATTAAGGACTCCATCAGTTGTTTTTTTTATTTTTGTCAATCTTCAGTTTTCCATATATGTGATTAGTGTGATATTCTTACTGGACTAATGTAGCTCACCCCTTTATTAACTATTTCAGATCAAGATGATCAAGATCTAGATCTCGATCAATAAGGGGGTTATGAATAGTTCACCACCCGAACTCCCTTCAAGAGTTAGTAAAAGTCGTCATAAGATTGCTTAGTTATTTGCCTTTTATTTATTTTTTTTATTTTTATTTTTTTAGAAGGGATATTTCCGTAGTACTATTGGGCATTTTAAAGTATTGTGTAAGGAATGTAAACCCTAACTCGATTATTTCGTTTTCACATTTAATTTATGACTTTATTTTTATTTAAGTTTTGAACCTTTATACACATATTCATATTTTACATTCACTGTTAATTCACTTACAACATGCTTCATTTCGTCTTCCGAACCTCCATTTCAAATTCTATTTGTTCGATAATGAATATACATAAACTATGATTCAACTTCAAGTCGGAAAGGGCTAAAATGATCTTACCTCTCATATTCACAAAATAGAAATAAATTGCGTTGACTCTCTTTCCTCTCCTTAGTCCCCTTCAGGGGATGGTACTTCTCTGCCTTGTTGTTCTCTTCTCTTTCTGAATTTCTTTCTATATCCCTCCCCTCTTCTCTCTAGTGTTCCTCCCCATTTGAAGGAGACAAAAAGAGGAATTTATATGGGGTAATGGGGCCGTTCGATCCCAACAATAGATCTAGACTGTTGATTATTATTATTTTTTAATCTTTTTTAAAACAAATTATCAAATTTTTCTCTTCCCTATTTAATCCTTACAATGTAGCCTCCATTTATTTCCCTATTACTCCCTTCTCTATCAAAATTTCTTTGACTTATCCCCTTTCATTTCCCTCTTTTTTTCTTGGGATGTTACATTATTGGTCTATATTATTGCCATTTTTTTTTTCAACGGAGAGAAAACCACTTATATAACGTTTTAACATTAACTGTTAAGTTTAGATCAATTTTCTTCTTTACTTTAATCTTAGTAACTTGAAATAAATCATGTTTGACACCTTTATTTTTAATAAAATTAAGACCTACTTCTCATGATACTTTTAGATATTGTTTGGAACATTTTTTGTGGGTTTTTGGTGTACCAAATTGAAATTATTATCATTATCTGCTCCTTGAATTTGGTGCTCATTCCCATTCTTGTTATCCAACC